TGGCCTTCCGGTTCACCTCCAAGTACAGGTCAGCAGATTTGTCACCACCAGCACGTAGCATTGCGACCATTGCGATCCCCAATTTGACGTCTACGCTCTTAAACTTCTTGTGTCCTGAATCGTTCAGTGCTTCGACATCAGGGAATGGGTTGAATGCTGGTGCCAGCCATAACATCCAGTCCTCATGATTTGGATCGGCTGATGCTCCTAAGACATTCGCCGTGCATACGGATCGCCAGTTGTTGAGGTGAGTGAGAGTAGGCCATGGAGGTACGGTCACTTTGTCGGCCTCCCTCCTGGAAATTCTCACTTCCGTGACTTCAGGATCTGCATCTCCATCAGGATCACGCGCATGAGATCCAGGATCCGATTCAGGTTTGCCTCCACCGCTTTTCTTCTTATCATCATCATCGTCAGGTGGGTCAGGAGGGTCATACCCCGTGCCGGTTCCTTCATCGTGCTCTCCATCTTCGTTCTCGTCGCCAGCCTCGTCACCGTCATCGTCTCCATTATCCTCCTGAATCGTTTCAGCGAATAACTTCCACTCATCACGATCAGCTCTGAGACGTTGTTCGGCTTTCTGGGCCTTGAGTACTTCGCTTCGCAGATCGGCAATCTTCTCCTCGTACCGTTCCGCGACCTCTTTCTCGATCTGACGTCTCCTTGCTTCATGAATGGAATCGTCATAGGCAATAGGGGGACCGATGAGGTCGTTGCCCTTCGTAGATGCGGTGATACCGTCGACACCAACAGGTCTTGAGGAGCTGGCAGATGCTGTGGACTTCGATCCCAACATCCCGCGATCCTCCAAGAGTTCGCGTAGCTGTCGATCACGCACGGCTGCCGCATCACTTTTCCCATGAAATCCGCTTGGTATGCCGAACAAAGTGGCTGCACTAGGCGTGGAACGCGCAAGTGCTGGGCTGCTAATACCTGGCACGTAGTGCTCGGGCATTGCATCCGCCACGATTGGCATTGAACTGCGGCCAGTGAAGAAGTTTCCACCGGTGAATGGAATTCCATCCATCACAAGGTTCTTGTCCTTGTCCGATTCCGAGAATGCGAACTTCTCTTTGGCGACTGGACTAACTTGACTTGGGGACCGTATTTCAGGGGATCGTACCTCACCTCCTACGGAAAATGCAGGCACTACTTCCTTTCCTACGTGCTCCCAGCCAGACTCAGTAGTCCTCGAAGACATGGGCATGCTTGAAGGCCGTGTCGCTCCTCCGTAATTGGAGTTTCGCGCTGCCTCCAATTCGCTGCGTGTCCTCGCTTGAAGATCTTCTTGTGCTTTGAGCGTTTTCCTGAGTTCACTCAGCTCGTCGTGCAAGGTAGGCAATGATCGCCTTGCATGATCTTCATTCTGATGAAGTCGGTCCTCTGCTTCTTGCATCTTCTTCACAGCCATTTTGCGGTACTCTTCCTCTTCACCAAGACGTTCGCGAAGCCGAAATCGTTCTTGATCAATGGCTGCGCTGTTTCCAGCTAGCCCTTGGATCTCGTTCACGGCCCGCAACTCCTGGTTCTTGACCAAGTGGAATCGTTCCTGCATTGCTTGTAAGGCTTGTTCCGAACTTGCTGTGTTTGACCGGAGGACCAAGTTCTCTCTGGCATGTTCATGAAGTTCATGAGTCAGACGCTCATACTCACGTGCCATAAGCTCACCATCGCCTTGCGCTCTTGCCTCCAACTGCACAAAGTTAGTGGCTGCCTCCGTGCGGAACACGTGTAGCTGTTGAGCTAACTCCTCGGCAACGGCATGTGCTTGACGTTGTTGAGCAGAGTTCTGTTCATCCATGCGAAACAAAGCTGTTTCATAGTCTCGCTTCATCTCCTGATTGACATTGTTGATGTGCCTCATGGCTAAGCATGCATGATCACGTTGTCGTTCCAATTCTTCAATGCGAATTCCAGATCCTTCATCTTCTTGTTGCATCTCCTTGATCTTGTCCATCAGGGTCTGAACAACTCCTTCGTATTCTTGCATCTGACTGCGATAGTACATCTGCTGCGCAAGGTTAGATGCTTCGAGCTGTTGCGAAATCGTCAGTTCCTGATAGGCATTCGGACCATCGGCTATGGCTGGCGTGGTCACCGATGACGCATCGCCACGTGCTGGGATAGTGTCCAGAGTCATATCCAGATCGTCAGCATCACGTGGTTGATTGGTAACCATCCGATTCCAAGTCATGGATTTGTCACGCCCACGAGTAGCCGAAGTCCTCGATCGTGCTGAAGAGCTTCTCGAAGATGATGGTCTTGACTTCTTTTCCAAGGTCTTCACTCCTTTGTCCTTGGCCCTGGACGTAGTCCGAGGTGCCTGAAAACCAGACGCTTCGGCTCGTCGTTCGGGAGCCTTGCCCGTCCTCGAACCTGTGGATGTCGGACGCGAAGGCGTAGATGCTCTTGGTAGACTCTTTGCTTTCACCTTGGGAACTGCCTTTGCGATGGCAAGCGCAGAAGATTGACCTTTGTCATCTTCCGTGGAGCTATCAACGGATTGCACCACTGTGTCATCAGCTGTTGACTCACCAACGGCTGGCGCTGCCACATCGGCACCGAAAGTCATTGTCGTATCTTGGCTTGATCCCGAGTTCATTGTGGTCGTAGTAGATCAAGTAGTCGTTGCTGTAGAAAGGCAGAGCCACGTACGGCTGATAACCTGCGTGGGGGATTGATCTCGACTAGGTTGCTGCTCTCCCCACCAGAGCTGTAATGAATGTAGGTGTGGCTGGCTTGCACTCTCCACAGACTAGACCCTGTCTCTCTTACACTTCCACGTGTGCAATCCTATGCAGGCAGAACCGGCGGCCGTTCCTTTTGCACTCACTGCCGGCGGCGGTTCGTCTGTGCAACGAGATAGCTCTGATTGCTCAGGATAGAAGACATATATAGCACTTAGCTATGGGCATTGACTTGAGCCAAACGTTGCGTGGGCGGTCACATAGAAAGGTTAAGATGAGGGACGCGTAGCGTGCCCCCTTAGAGTCGAGGGACGCGTAGCGTGCTCCCTTCTCTTGCACTTTACACGGTCTTGCTCACAGCTCTTATAGTGACACCTTAGAACTTGACAAGGCATCGCAGTCCAATCGCACACGGAGATTATTTCATATTACGATCGCTATTATTACTATAATCGATTTAGATTTTAATTATTATAATACCATCTAGACTAGAAATACAAGCAACTTCGATATTTCATTTATACGTATCCCGCTACATTAGCTTTTATATTATATACTCAACGGCATATATATATTATATACCTCAACGACATAAATATATAATCCAAAATATGGTAAAATATTTTATGAATTAATCATAACGTATTCTAAATATTGAAATAAGAAAAAAATAAATCTTTCGTATTAGATTTTAAGAATTCATCGTTTATTCGATATATCGAGTTCATCGATAGTTTATTCATATATTTTTTATCAAATTTATTTTTGTAATTCTCACTTATTCTTATGCTCTACCCAATATACGAAATCAATCATATCGATATGGCCGATACTTTCGCGAATATAGCATCTATATGAAACGATGAAAAATGAATATACATTTAAATTTATTTATATATCTTAAATCTTAAACGTTTTCGGACAAGAATCGATATCGATTCTATTTCCTATAGATTTATCTTACGAAGTCGACGAGAATTTATATATATATATATATATATAATCTCATATAGATACTACGTCAGAGTAGATATATAATAATGAATTTCTCGAACTAATTTTCGATAATAACAAAATCACTAAATCCTCTTCCTACTAATTCCCATATAGACCTTCGATTTCGTTTGCACCCGATCAAGAGAATTAGAATATCTTAACTATTCACGAGAAGACTTAGTATCCGATAACTTGACGATAAGTCAATATCCCGTATTATCGCGACAGCCCCACTCCCCTCCTCTAAAAGAAAGCTTTAGCGCGCAGACTTTATTATAAATCTTTATAGCGCAATATACTATATGAAGGACCTTATCTCACCAACCTTTCAAAAAAGCCATCTTCGTTATAAACTTTATCGTATGAAGGGAGCCCCGCCCCTATTACAAAGCAGAAGGTTTTAACCCGCTACCATATAGACAATTATACGTCAATTTCATATTTTGTAATACGCACCAAGTACGAGAATATCAATACGACCAATATTTAGTATTTCTAGATTATAAGAAATCTATATTTTTAAAAGAATTATTACCACCCTCCTCCGAAATAGAACAATATCAATATAACCGATATTGTCTATATCTAAATTACAAGAAATACTTAACATAAAAAATCAAATCCCTATAATATTTACACGAATCCTTACCCCGCCACTGCTAATAGGAATAAAGACGAAAGACTAAATACCAGAATTTTCGTCCTTATTCCGTAATTGAGCCGCGCTGGGCACTGGCTCCCAGATCGCGGGCGGCGAAGCCTCCTCGCAGGAGGCCAAGTCCAAGGCGTCCAGAATGTCAACGCCCAGCACCAGGAAGGGCGCCAAGGGCCGATGCGCAGCCGGCCACGAAGAGCTCAGGATGGCCTGAACTCGATTGTCCATGTTATCCCTGGAGAGGAAACAACTTCAAAGATGCCTTTCTAATCAGCACTGCCTGAATTTAGCAGCGAGCTTTCACTCCGTGATTTTGCCACTGCCAAACAACGTCGACTAGCCTGACATGCTGTGGATTAGCTTGACATGCCCCAAGCCGAAGACACGGCTGACTTGAGCTGAATGGCTCAATACTCCACATTTGTCCGATAGCCCGTCTCAACCTATCCTCCAATAGCACGGCTGGCATCTCAACGTAAACAGCATGCGTCATCGGCCAAAGAGACGCATGTTTTATCCTCTGCAGTCGACAGGCCAGAGGGCACATTGGCCCATGGCCCTTCAGCTTAGACAGAAGTCACGGCCTAGGGCTTCGCGATCCTTCGCCGGCCTGCCTACGATTCATCCGGAAAAACACGGGACTGCTGCGCCTCAGCTGGGCCTCAGGCGCCGGCACCTTCCAAGAGAGCACGAAACATGTCGCCGTCGAAGCACAGCGAACCCATCAGAAATTGTCCAATTGAACTGAGACGACGCCCTGGAGAACCCTTGCCTGCCAAACGCTTGAAGATTGAGAGGTCGTAGATGTCTGCCTTCGCCTGGCGCTCAGGAGTAGTATAGCGAGTCGCACTGCAGCAATACAGATGTCACTCCAACTTCAACATCTTCAAGCCTGAAACTGCATTTGTGCTGGCGTGAGGTCTCAACACTGACTCACACCCAACCTGCCCAGCAGCATCCATGGGCTGCTCGTACACGACCTGCAGTCGCCCCCCAGCAGACACATGCTCCGTGCAGAACACTCTGAGAAGCTCGGGCCAACAAACACAGAAGCTTCATAGAAATTACACAACCTCCCTGAAGGAGCACTGCATCCTTCCCTTCATGATGGCTGAGGCTCCCCGCGGGCAAGCGGTTGCGCTCCCAACCGCGGAAGCCTCCTTCCAGAACGGCCACGCGCCTTCCCGTAAGCAGCCGCTCGAATTAGATTGAGCACTCGGGGACAAGAGACGCCGGGTCGGCACACGGAGGTAATGGCACGATACGATGCTGCGCCAAGCTGCGTTCATCGCGTGAGCCAAGGAGCCAGCAAAGCTTCCACCGGCTTACCTTTCCTAGTTTCGTAATGATTCTTGCGACACCGACACTCGTTGTGGCGTGACACAAATCATTGAAGGCACGTTTACGATGTACTGTGCCAAGTATCATGTTGCAGAAGCAGACAACTCAGCAGAAAAGACACTGCTTGCAACTCAACCACGCAGCTTGAACAAACATGTTCAACGGAATCACCCCAACAGGAAGCTAGCACCACAAGACATGGGAACGAAGCATAAGGAAACTAGAGCTGCGGAAGTCGTCCGGAGACCGAGGCCCTTGCTGTGTCGAAGGCGCCTTGAGACGGTAGTAAGTAGCGCACCTGCCGTGTCTTCGAAGATCAGCTGTCCTGAAACTCACTTCGACCTGCAGCCCCTCCAACAACCCTCAAGTCTGAACGGTCTGTTGTGATACCAGTCCCACACAATTGGAAGGCTCCGGTCCAACCCACAGCAGTAGACTTGGCATCCGGCTGAGGGCCCCAGAAATAGGATTCTTCGCAATGGAAAATCTCAGCAGACGGGTGGTCGTCGCATCCATTGCAGGCGCTCCACAGTGCATCACAGACCCTGAGCTGCCGGCCACGAGCTTCTCCTTGGCGAGTTTTGCCACCAGCTCATCTGCCCCCTCACTAACAGATACCAGCAGATGGTGGAACAGACAATTGCCTAACCGCTCCCCAAACAACCGCCATTAAAGCTGGGTGCAAGCACGATCTCTCCTTGTTTTCACACGTTGGTCGTAAAGTCGCATCTCTCGCTAATCGGTCGGATTATATCCACAACCGAAAACTCAAGAGTGCAGGGATCTCACCCCAGGAGCGGGCGGGTGGGTAAAAGAATCGGGTGAGATCCTCGAGACCAAAATGGCCACGGTGGATGCTCACTCAATACCCGCCAACCACGCGTGGCAATTGTCATGTCAACACCGGCAAGCCTCTGTTTAATACGACAATTGCCTAACCGCTCCCCAAACAACCGCCATTAAAGCTGGGTGCAAGCACGATCTCTCCTTGTTTTCACACGTTGGTCGTAAAGTCGCATCTCTCGCTAATCGGTCGGATTATATCCACAACCGAAAACTCAAGAGTGCAGGGATCTCACCCACTTGACTTTATCGCCCAACTGCCAAAGAGAGTCCCCACCTGCTGTAGCGGCGGTGGGTGATTATGAAGAGCTCTCCGATGACGAATTAGATGTATCCGTCGAGGTTGAAGAGGCGGATGAGCTGGCAGAGGAGCTCGCTCTGCCTCTTCTTGGGAAGCATCTTTTGCACTTCTTTCCCTCGAAATCGCTATCCACCCATTGAAACAACGTGTTGTCACGCGCAAAGGGCCAGGCGCAGTAAGTTCGCCAGTGTCTTGGGTGTAAAGCATTTCGCGGATCATCGAGGTCAGTCTTGCATCGATGTATCTTCCCACCCGGTGAGCGGTTGAAAACCAGTCGCTCGCTTGAGTCAGCTGGGATAGGAGGCGGGGGTTCGTCCTGAACAACTTGGTTGTCATCCCTCCATTCCTGATCCGGGATGGCTAGTAAAGGCCTTGCTTGTGCGAGAAGCCTCTCCAACTCACAAGCGCCCGTGCCAGTGAGTCGTTATGACCGGCTTCAATGGCAAGTTCGCTCAGCCTGCAAAGAGGAGCCTCGCGAATGTAACGGAGAATCGCGTCTGAGTCCCATCTCCCAAAGATCTGGATCCTCCACAGCTCGACTCCTCTAGAGGCCAGAAACTGAGCCCCTGAGGCTCTAGCCGAATGCCCTGTGAAGCAACGAGCGCCGTTGCTTGCATGTGTTGGGATCCGCGGCTTGGCGCTCCCGCACTTGCCCTTGTTGTAGCCCTCGCAGATTCGTGTGCCCCTGCGGTTGACCACATATATGTCGCCCTTTTTCTCGCTGTGGTCTTCGCCCTCGTACTTCTTCTGCTTCTTGCCCTTCTTCTTGTCCTCCTCCTGGTGCGGCCGTTTGGTTGGGCTCCCTCCTGTGGTGGTGGATCCCCCTCCTCCGTGCCTATGCTAGCCTGGCCCTTCTGCTGTGACAGCCAAAGCGTTGCCGGAGTGACCAGCTCACGGGTCCAAAACTCGGAATCCCGAATGGCTGCTGCGAAGACGGCATTCCAAGGCCTCGCCTGGGTATACCCGTACTCGGGCTTCTCATGGAGGACCCTCCGGAGGCGCTCCATGTGTTCCGACCTCAGCCTGCACTCTGCCCTGTATATGAGCCACCACGACTGGTCGCCGAACTGTGTCACATACCCCCGGATGTGCTCGGAGTAGGCATCGAGGCGCTCGGAGTCGGCAACTTCCAAGAGCAGCAAGGCCGTTCTCAGAACCTTCCAGGCCTCCACCCAGGAGTGGTAAGAGGCTGGCTCGGGTTGCTCTCGTTTGGTCCATTCACCGGTGGCCATGTTGAGCTGGTAGGCCGTGAAGGTCTGCTTCCTGAGCAACCAGACCCCATGAGGGCCGAACAGGCTGAAATCGGCGTAAGGAGCCGCGCCCGAAGCAACAACCTGCTTCAAAGAGGCAAGTTGGTCGGCCGAAGGGTCAGCCTCCGGAGAAGGAAAGTCGCCGTACTTGTCCCGGTAGTCCTTGTACAGCTTCTGAATCTCCGTGGCGGATAGGGCTGCCACCTCAGCATCCAAAGTAGGGTCCAAGATGGCCGAGAGCTTAAGCTTCCTCGCCCCTGCCAACGTCGGGGCTGTAGCCGCTCCTGGGCCCGGTGCCGGTGAGATGGCAGGTGGACCAGCGGTGCCTGGTGTATCCGGAGCCTGGCCCATAAGCAGGAGGGCGACCCTGCGGGTGGACTCGATCCGGGCCTTTTCCACCAATCTAAGGGCTCTCGGTGGCCCCGGATTGCCGCCCCGCGGATTGACACCCCCCCGCTCCAGATTGACACTGCCGCCCCGCGGATTGACACCGGACCGCCTTCAGATTGACACTGCCTGCCGCCCCCCCCCCGATTGACAGTGTCAATCTGCCCCGCCCGGTTAACTTGACGAGTCCAACCTGATGAGAAATGACCCGACCGAGTCTGGTCCGGCAGGAACTTACCCGTCGCCACTGCATCCAGTACGACAACGTACTCACGTAGTGCCGCGCTCTGCAACTCACGCCCATAAACTGCATCACTACCAGTCGCTGCATCCGCGTGATGGCCTAGAACTCGCTTGGTCTCGCGAATCATCCCGAATTTGCTACACCAAACAAGTGAGGTAACCTTCAATGAGTGCGAACTGACGGCCTGTTCCGTCGAAGGACGTGGCAGTCTGCGTCGTCTGGTCCGGGAACCTGTAGAGCCGCCGTGGCTGTATCCCAGTCGGGACGTGGGATGAGGGCGATCTCACGAACCCTGCCTGGATCTCCCAATGCCTGTTGGAGCACGGTTTGGAGGCGGCCAGTCACCCCTGCCCATGTGAAGACCCCCGCCCCGCCAGGTTCGTAATGCCTTGCAGCTCGGCTTCGGTCGGGTCCATCGTTGCTTAAGGCGGGCCCTTCGCTGGGCAACTGAAGCCCACCTCTCCAGGGAGTTGGCGGGAGGCTGGTGCCTAGGCTGGGCCTGCTCGTGGCGCTCCGTACGGATCGCCGACCGCAGCAGAAGCCCAAAACCCAGATGCAAAGGCTAACAGCTAAGAGCACGAAGTCAATGAACCCGGGCTCCCCGATCCAAACCGACTCCCCTTCAAGGGTTGTCAAGTCTAAGAATCCAAGGTCCACAAACCCGGCCCACCTGTTGCTGGATCCCCCTTTCTTAAAAGAATCGGGTGAGATCCTCGAGACCAAAATGGCCACGGTGGATGCTCACTCAATACCCGCCAACCACGCGTGGCAATTGTCATGTCAACACCGGCAAGCCTCTGTTTAATACCACAAGCTCGGACGAATGCTCCACCCCGTGCTTCTGCTCGGAGCACCCATTCCCTCTCTTGGCGGCCCCGCCCCATTTTTGAAGTTAAAGTTGGACGCGTCGGGCTTGTGCACCGCGCCCTGGAGCCGTCGAGAGCCAGGACAGACGGACTCTCTCCAGACACCGAGTGCGACTCAAAAACCCGCAGATCTTGTTGAAAATGCCTGGATGTGGCCAGAGGCACGATCGCCCCTACGCACGTCGATGAGCGCACACCTCGGCGCTTTCTTGGAGTCTTGGCATCCGAACTCTGCTAGTTTTGCAACGGGCTTGTGGCCCAGTTCTGAGAGGCAGGCTGCCCTGCCTTTAGGAGCTGGTGCACCTGGAGGCAAGAGAACACGGCTCACTCCAGTCAGTCGCCCTACTGCGCATGCGTCATCTCGTATTGCCCAGTGGCCTAGAACTAGCAGTGAAAGCTCTCCAGCTGTGCCTCTGCAGGCGAGAGCACTTCGAAGTTGAACGGCAGCAGACCGAGCGCGGCCGCTTCGGCCGACAGCCTGTGCACAGGTCCGTTCTGTCCCTGGTGACTCGTGGTCGAGCCGAACCCTGTATGTGCAGGTTGCTTGCACCATGTTCACTCCGAGCGTGCTTCGAGCTGGTGGCCAGATGCTCCAACGTTCCATTCGTTGCTTGCCCGAGGCGTCCATGTGTTTTACCGCTGAAGCACAACTTTGGCGGACTTCATGGCAATCGACAGAGTTACAAGTTACAAGTACGTGTTCATTCGGCCTCTCTTAGACTCTTTCACAGTCGCTAACGTAGCATCTTTCTTGTGAGCGACTGTCATGGAGGGAGATCAAGACAGGCCTGTGTGTAGGCCCGACGGTCTTCGTCGTCGTCTGCACCTTGACATCACGGAGGATGACAAGGGAAAGACGTGGTCTTCTCAGGTCCTGGCCGTGGAGGTCTGCTCCTGACAGGCTTGCTTGTGGCATCAACATAAGGAACTCACTCCGGAAGCAGGAATCGCAAACGAACACATTCCGTCAACCGGCATAGGGCCGTCCTTTGTCTGCAGACCAGGTGCAAACGGCCTGCTTCGACTTCAAGGGCAGATTCAGGCTATAATCGAGTCGCAGCCGCACGGACGATGTCAAAACTGCCCAGACACCGCAAGATGCATGGAGTTCGGGGCAGGCCTGGGTGCAGCCACGACGGTCTTCGTCGTGGTCTGCACCTTGCATCGCGGAGGCTGAGGAAAAAAGCAAAGTCGTCAAAATGCGTCAGCGCAGCCGAGGAAGACCCGGATTCACCCTTTCAAACTCCCCTGACCGGATGTTCTCAGTTCCTGGCAGTGAAGCCGTGGATGCGCTCCTGAGGAACGTACTGAGAGAGCACACGGAAGCAGGCAACGCACGGGACAGCAGGCGGCAGGGCGGTCCATCTTCGCCGCGCTCGGGGCCAAAGACCTGCTTTGACTAACCAAATCTGGCAGAGCTTTGGAGTGATGCTTGTAGCTGCCGGCCCGGCAATATCATGACTACACACTTCTGCGCAGGTCCTCCCCTGCAATGTGATACAAGGCTGAGCTGCGAGCCGAGTCGGAGCGACCACGGGTTGTGGCAAGGGCGGACTGGCCTCAGATTTCAGCACTTAGTCGCGGGCAGCTCTCACGCTACAGATCCACACAACAGCAGCGCCACAATGCCAGCACAGTTGCACATACTCTCTGAGGAACGCACGGCCAGGTGCTGAAACTTGGTTCGGAAGGACTGACCAAGATGCGCGGACAGGATTCAAGATTCGGTGCCAAGACATGGTAAAAAACATGCTCGCGAGAAGCAGCAAAGCCCGCCTGGTGGGCAGGGCAGGCAGCCGGTGTCGGCACCACGAGCGGAGGGACATAGATCCTCGCTGGACCCTCACCCGCACAAACTGCGACGGCTCCCCAAAAGTCTATCCACTCCCCCGCGTTTTCCGCCCAAGGCAGGCACTGCCTCCAAGGCATGGCCACGACAACTGGCGCCTCACACGCGATAGAGAGGAGGAGTTTCAAAAGACTGGCAAGGGCAAAACCATTCACTTCCCTGCGGGGGGGGGGGACGCCCGATTCCCGATTCTCATCCGTTGCACCAAGGCACGGCCCTCGGAGCCGCAGGCGCATAATGCGCATAGTGGTAAATCTTAGCCTTAGCTCTTCTTTTCGGGCTGCAGGCAGACATCCACTCTCAAGCAACGGACCAGTCTGGGCCTTTCACGTGGCTCGCCATCTCGGCAAGGGCGGGCTGCTTCCGAGCTTTGCAACTTACCAAAAGCAGAGTCGAGGCCAACCAATGCTTCTGACTAGCCACTGCCTAACAGTATGGATTGGACTGACATCACCTTGAGATGAATGGTGCTGCACCCCTCTGATACTGGTAGCCAGTCGATGCTCCGACAGTATTGCAAACTTATCACCAAGATTAGCATCTAGCATCATCCAGCGTCTCAAACGCTTCAACTTCTCGCAAAGCAGCCGCAACTTTCTCCTTCTTCCGACTCCCGCGAGGTCGCAACTGCTGAAGGGCACATTCACCCTGCCGGCTGCTGATTGAATAATGATAGCCCTGACAGCTTGTAACTTCAGATGCTCACGTGGTTAGCATGCAGCTACACCGCTCTTCCGCACCAGAAACTGAAGCAATGGGGCCCGGATTAAGCTCCTTTGAAGCCCATGCTGGCACAAACGGCAGCCTTCACGGCACAGGGCTCTGCAGCCTGACTCGGATGCCTTGGCCTTCACCACGGTCCTTCCGGAGTTCGGTCTTTGCTCTCTACAATCTACGGCTTCCTTTCACGGCCTGCCTCTTTGACACGTTCAACAGACATAGCGGCGGCTACATCCTGTTGTGAGGCTCTTCGCTGCTTGCATCTACGCATTCAAAGGTTCGCTCTTATGAGCGAGTCTAGCACTCTATAACCTAGAATCTAGATCCAACTCCAAGTGACAAAAACAACTCTTGCGCTCCGGTGCATGGCAGCATGCAAGCGGTCCCGCAATGGCAGATGGCACACGCCGACCTCGTGTTGCTGATGTTGCGATTGTAAACCCGTTGCAAAGACCGAGCTGTCGCTTCCGGTTATCTGCTGGCTTCAACAGCGCACAGCAGCCGTGTTGAGAAGAATTTCTGCAGTTTTGGCTCTGCCGAGCGGCAAGGAGGCACTCCAGCACGGTCAACAGGTGGTGCTGCCACTGCGGTGGCAAGCAATGCGTGACCCCGCCAACCTGGACCATCCCAATGAAACCTGGCAAGATCAGAGCAAAAACCACAAGGATCCATGCAAGCCCTTCGTGACCATGTCGATCAAGACCGCCGCGCTTGACGTTGACTTACCTCGTTACCTCTTTGCGGAAGCGTCTGACGCCCTGCAGCCCCAGAAGTTTTCCAGGAGGCATCTTCCTACGCACAACGCAGGTTACATCCTCACACAATCGCCGTCCAGGAGCACATGGTCATGCGTAGCAGGTCGCTGCTCATCCGGACCTGTTCGAGCAAGGCACAACAACAGCTGCGAAGCATCAACCGTCCTCTGCCACTGTCCGGGCCGCAACCTTTTGCATCTTTTGCACTTGTCACAGAACCCCGTGACATTGGGATCTCTGACATTACAGCCACCAGGCCCGGTCCGGCCTCTTTGAAGGTCTCCGCGTCTGCGGCTGGTACCGTCTCTTCGATGTGGCTCAGCCCCCAGAAAAGATAGACCATCGATCCCAGGCTTCCCACCAACCTGAGCTTGTCAGGCAGACCTTGCAAGGCCTCTCAGCTGCGGAGGATAGCACCGATCGAGTTTCTGCCAACCCCTCTCCTGCCCCGACTGGCAAAGAAGACTGTGAAAACGATGCTGCTTTCTGCAGGCAAGGAGCAGTCCCACTTGGTGTCCAGGAGTCACTGCGAGCACCGACCCCGCTGCCAGAAGGTTAAACATCGTCGCTGGCATCACGCAGCAGAGCCCTGTTCGAACCATTTGCGATTCCTTGTGATCAATGAACTTGTGTTCTGCTAATTATTCCCTACCAAAGCTCGCACACGACGTCCGGGCAATCCGCACAAGAGTTTCAATCGCTATTGTGCCACTTGAGATGGCATGGCATGACACGAGCCATGAACACGCAGCCACGGAGTCCCGGAATGCGATCCAGGCTCGCTTGAGAAAGTTCCGAGGAAAGCCCTTGGCTTTGCACCGCCACTGTCTCGCTGAACAGCGCAGATCAAGCGAAACAACAGTCAAGCCACACGATCAGCGGCAGGCTCATCGCGTCGGACAGATAGTGCAATGCGACTGCCGTCGTGCCAGGGTTGGGGACCAAGCTGAAGAGCCGCAATGCTGCATCCTCGTGGGTGAGACAGCTGAAACCGCACAACTGTAGACTGTAGAAGTCACGCTTACAGACATGCTCAGCATCGAAGAACTCAAGCCTGGTCTCATCAGGCACCCACTGATAAGCTGTCGGCAGCGTGCACTCTAGATTCATCCAATGCGAAACGAACACTAGCACCAGTCCTACCTGCAGCCGAAACTCCCCAAGGAAGCTGAACTTGTCCAGGTTTACCATCACTGTCTCTCGCACTGCGCCAAGCCTTGGACAAGCATTGCCCGAGCACTTCACAACCCAGCTACCACACCTGCAACACGAACGACCAGCAGCTTGCAATTCGCAGTCAGTTTGCATGGTCTCTCGAAGAGAGGCATGACTCTCCGAAGATACGGACAAAAAACCGCCGCATTGCAAATTCTTGCCGCAGGCCTGCTACGTGTAGCTGGGCCTACAGTTGCTCTCGACGTTGCTCGCAGCATGCGATCATGGATCATGCGGTGTGCGAGCGAGCCATGTCAGGAAGCTGCTCCGGACATGCACACAATGCACAGGGTAGAGCATCTTCAACCCCTGACCGGAAAAGTCCATCCCAACTCCCCAACTCCCTGGACGGAGCTCCTGACGTGCCGGCTATGCTGACCCCTGAACATGACCGACTCAAACGTATCCTTCCACCGGGGTACGCCAGAGCAGCAGAAGCTAGCTGCATGGGCTTGCGCGACTGCTTCTCGGGAAAGCGACTGACAATTCCTGAGCGCACACGTTTGCAAGCCTCTGCGATTTCAACCACACGATACAAGTACAAGACCCTCCAAGTCCAAATCAGTTCTGACATTCACTTTGTTGCAAAGTCAAGCAAGTCATTCCCCGCGAAACACACTGCTTCGAGTTGGCCGATGGAGAAGGCCGCGAGGACAGCGGCAGCGATGCTGTGAAAGATCCTGGGCTCAGAGGCATCAGAAGGCGCACCTCAAGCCGTCGTCGTAGACAAGCTCTGCCAAGCAACACAGACCCGGTGACGGCCTAGGAAGGCTGCGAGAAAACAACAAAAAGCCTCTTCGACACAAGCTTCTTGCTCAGGCCCTGGCTACCTGTGCCAAAACAAAGCCCGGAGGGGCGCCGGTCGCGCCAAGGGCCTGATCCAGTGCCTCAGAGAATCCGAAAAGTCGAGCTAGGTTCCGCACTCACCATCAAAGCTACAGACAAGCTGCCGAACACGCACAGTTTGACAGCAACAGAAATGGGACGGTGTAGTGATGGTCCGACAGGTCCGGAAAGCCATAGCGGAGACCTAAGGTCCGCCCGAGATCCTCCCAGCTTCTGAAGGGATCAAAGCGGAGGGCTACAGGTGCTGGCATTCCCGGGAGCCATCTTCCTTCTCTCCAGACACCTTCTGGCTGCCCCTGCCAGCCCTGTAGCCGGAAAACACCCTCCACGGGCTCCTGTCCAGGGCTTGGCGTGATGAGGAAATGGCCCGTCTTCTCCGGGATAACATCAGCAATCCCTACTCTGGAGCCATCCAGCTCTTGAGCCGCACTGGGCGCTGGCTCCCAGATGGCGGGCGGCGAAGCCTCCTCGCAGGAGGCCAAGTCCAAGGCGTCCAGAATGTCAACGCCCAGCACCAGGAAGGGCGCCAAGGGCCGACGCGCAGCCGGCCACAAAGAGCTCAGGATGGCCTGAACTCGAATGTCCATCTCGCTGAAGGAAGCAGCTTTAAAAGATGCCTTCTAGCTGCTGGTCTAACCATTAGCACTGCCTGAGTTTAGCAGCGAGCTTTCAGAATTTCACTCCGTGATTTTTAAGCCACTGCCAAACGACGTATCAGTACAGCCTGAGTTCAGTAACGGGTGCTACTGCCAAACAACGTCAACTAGCCCGACATGCTGTGGAATAGTTTGACATGCCCCAAGCCGAAGTCACGGCTACCTTGAGCCGAATGGCTCAACACTCACACCCGTCCGATAGCCCGTCTCGACCTATCCTCCAATAGCACGGCTGGCATCTCAACGTCCTCAAAGAAAGCAGCATGCATCATCGGCCAAAGAGGCACGTCATGTTTTCTCTCCTTTGCAAAGATTGCATTCGACAGGGCAGAGGGCACATTGACCCATGGCCCTTCACGGCTCAGGACGCCATTCACGATCCTTCGGGGGTCGCAAACTCTTGCTGCAAATCTGTTGGAGTTCAGAGCACAGTGAACCCTCCAAGTCCCTCCAAATCTGTCCCGATATTGCCGATCCAGCAAGTCGATTGCAGCGCCCGCGATGACAGCGGCAGCGCTGTGAAACATCCTGGGCTCAGAGGTGTCAGAAGGCACACCTCGGGCCGTCGCAAGCTTTGCCAAGGAGCGATGCTCCTGCGCCGGCCTAGGAAGGCCGTGAGAAGCCAGCAGAAAGCCACTTTGACACAAGCTTCTCCCTCCTTTTAGGCCCTGGCCACCTGTGCCAAAACGAAGCCCGGAGGGGCGCCGGTCGCGCCAAGGGCCTGATCCATTGCCTTCCGGGATTTCGAGAAGTCGAGCTGCGTTCCACACTCACCATCAAAGCTGCAGACAAGCTGCCGCACCCGCAAAGTTTAACAGCAAAAAGAATGGGATGGTCTCCGCCAGTGTCTGCCCAATCTCCTGCCAGCTTCTGACGGGATCAAAGTGGAGGGCTACAGGTGCTGGCATTCCCGGGAACCATCTTCCTTCTCTCCAAACACCTTCTGGCTACCCCTGCCAGCCCTGTAGCCCTACTCCGTCCCGCCGGAAAACACCTTCCACAGGCTCCTGTGCAGCACTTGGCGGGATGGGGCCCGGAAGCTCTCTGAGCTCTCTGTTGCCGTCAATTTCTTGAGCCACACCGGGCTCTGGCTCCCAGGTCGCGGGCGGCGAAGCCTCCTCGCAGGAGGCCAAGTCCAAGGCGTCCAGAATGTCAACGCCCAGCACCAGGAAGGGCGCCAAGGGCCGACGCGCAGCCGGCCACAAAGAGCTCAGGATGGCATGAACTCGACTGTCCATGTTTTCAATGGAGAGGAAACGGCTGCGAAGATGCCTTTCTAGCTGCTGGTCTAACCATTAGCACTGCCTGAGTTTACCAGCGAGCTTTCAGAATTTCACTCCGTGATTTTGCCACTGCCAAACAACGTATCAGTACTGCCTGAGTTCAGTAGCGGGTGCCACTGCCAAACAACGTCAACTAGCCCGACATGCTGTGGAATAGTTTGACATGCCCCAAGCCGAAGTCACGGCTACCTTGAGCCGAATGGCTCAACACTCACACCCGTCCGATAGCCCGTCTCGACCTATCCTCCAATAGCACGGCTGGCATCTCAACGTCCTCAAAGAAAGCAGCATGCATCATCGGCCAAAGAGGCACGTCATGTTTTCTCTCCTTTGCAAAGATTGCATTCGACAGGGCAGAGGGCACATTGACCCATGGCCCTTCACGGCTCAGGACGCCATTCACGATCCTTCGGGGGTCGCAAACTCTTGCTGCAAATCTGTTGGAGTTCAGAGCACAGTGAACCCTCCAAGTCCCTCCAAATCTGTCCCGATATTGCCGATCCAGCAAGTCGATTGCAGCGCCCGCGATGACAGCGGCAGCGCTGTGAAACATCCTGGGCTCAGAGGTGTCAGAAGGCACACCTCGGGCCGTCGCAAGCTTTGCCAAGGAGCGATGCTCCTGCGCCGGCCTAGGAAGGCCGTGAGAAGCCAGCAGAAAGCCACTTTGACACAAGCTTCTCCCTCCTTTTAGGCCCTGGCCACCTGTGCCAAAACAAAGCCCGGAGGGGCGCCGGTCGCGCCAAGGGCCTGATCCATTGCCTTCCGGGATTTCGAGAAGTCGAGCTGCGTTCCACACTCACCATCAAAGCTGCAGACAAGCTGCCGCACCCGCAAAGTTTAACAGCAAAAAGAATGGGATGGTCTCCGCCAGTGTCTGCCCAATCTCCTGCCAGCTTCTGACGGGATCAAAGTGGAGGGCTACAGGTGCTGGCATTCCCGGGAACCATCTTCCTTCTCTCCAAACACCTTCTGGCTACCCCTGCCAGCCCTGTAGCCCCACACCGTCCCGCCGGAAAACACCTTCCACAGGCTCCTGTGCAGCACTTGGCGGGATGGGGCCCGGAAGCTCTCTGAGCTCTCTGTTGCCGTCAATTTCTTGAGCCACACCGGGCTCTGGCTCCCAGGTCGCGGGCGGCGAAGCCTCCTCGCAGGAGGCCAAGTCCAAGGCGTCCAGAATGTCAACGCCCAGCACCAGGAAGGGCGCCAAGGGCCGACGCGCAGCCGGCCACAAAGAGCTCAGGATGGCATGAACTCGACTGTCCATGTTTTCAATGGAGAGGAAACGGCTGCGAAGATGCCTTTCTAGCTGCTGGTCTAACCATTAGCACTGCCTGAGTTTACCAGCGAGCTTTCAGAATTTCACTCCGTGATTTTGCCACTGCCAAACAACGTATCAGTACTGCCTGAGTTCAGTAGCGGGTGCCACTGCCAAACAACGTCAACTAGCCCGACATGCTGTGGAATAGTTTGACATGCCCCAAGCCGAAGTCACGGCTACCTTGAGCCGAATGGCTCAACACTCACACCCGTCCGATAGCCCGTCTCGACCTATCCTCCAATAGCACGGCTGGCATCTCAACGTCCTCAAAGAAAGCAGCATGCATCATCGGCCAAAGAGGCACGTCATGTTTTCTCTCCTTTGCAAAGATTGCATTCGACAGGGCAGAGGGCACATTGACCCATGGCCCTTCACGGCTCAGGACGCCATTCACGATCCTTCGGGGGTCGCAAACTCTTGCTGCAAATCTGTTGGAGTTCAGAGCACAGTGAACCCTCCAAGTCCCTCCAAATCTGTCCCGATATTGCCGATCCAGCAAGTCGATTGCAGCGCCCGCGATGACAGCGGCAGCGCTGTGAAACATCCTGGGCTCAGAGGTGTCAGAAGGCACACCTCGGGCCGTCGCAAGCTTTGCCAAGGAGCGATGCTCCTGCGCCGGCCTAGGAAGGCCGTGAGAAGCCAGCAGAAAGCCACTTTGACACAGGCTTCTCCCTCCTTTTAGGCCCTGGCCACCTGTGCCAAAACGAAGCCCGGAGGGGCGCCGGTCGCGCCAAGGGCCTGATCCATTGCCTTCCGGGATTTCGAGAAGTCGAGCTGCGTTCCACACTCACCATCAAAGCTGCAGACAAGCTGCCACACCCGCAAAGTTTAACAGCAAAAAGAATGGGATGGTCTCCGCCAGTGTCTGCCCAATCTCCTGCCAGCTTCTGACGGGATCAAAGTGGAGGGCTACAGGTGCTGGCATTCCCGGGAACCATCTTCCTTCTCTCCAAACACCTTCTGGCTACCCCTGCCAGCCCTGTAGCCCCACACCGTCCCGCCGGAAAACACCTTCCACAGGCTCCTGTGCAGCACTTGGCGGGATGGGGCCCGGAAGCTCTCTGAGCTCTCTGTTGCCGTCAATTTCTTGAGCCACACCGGGCTCTGGCTCCCAGGTCGCGGGCGGCGAAGCCTCCTCGCAGGAGGCCAAGTCCAAGGCGTCCAGAATGTCAACGCCCAGCACCAGGAAGGGCGCCAAGGGCCGACGCGCAGCCGGCCACAAAGAGCTCAGGATGGCATGAACTCGACTGTCGATGTTTTCAATGGAGAGGAAACGGCTGCGAAGATGCCTTTCTAGCTGCTGGTCTAACCATTAGCACTGCCTGAGTTTACCAGCGAGCTTTCAGAATTTCACTCCGTGATTTTGCCACTGCCAAACAACGTATCAGTACTGCCTGAGTTCAGTAGCGGGTGCCACTGCCAAACAACGTCAACTAGCCCGACATGCTGTGGAATAGTTTGACATGCCCCAAGCCGAAGTCACGGCTACCTTGAGCCGAATGGCTCAACACTCACACCCGTCCGATAGCCCGTCTCGACCTATCCTATAGCACGGCTGGCATCTCAACGTCCTCAAAGAAAGCAGCATGCATCATCGGCCAAAGAGGCACGTCATGTTTTCTCTCCTTTGCAAAGATTGCATTCGACAGGGCAGAGGGCACATTGACCCATGGCCCTTCACGGCTCAGGACGCCATTCACGATCCTTCGGGGGTCGCAAACTCTTGCTGCAAATCTGTTGGAGTTCAGAGCACAGTGAACCCTCCAAGTCCCTCCAAATCTGTCCCGATATTGCCGATCCAGCAAGTCGATTGCAGCGCCCGCGATGACAGCGGCAGCGCTGTGAAACATCCTGGGCTCAGAGGTGTCAGAAGGCACACCTCGGGCCGTCGCAAGCTTTGCCAAGGAGCGATGCTCCTGCGCCGGCCTAGGAAGGCCGTGAGAAGCCAGCAGAAAGCCACTTTGACACAAGCTTCTCCCTCCTTTTAGGCCCTGGCCACCTGTGCCAAAACGAAGCCCGGAGGGGCGCCGGTCGCGCCAAGGGCCTGATCCATTGCCTTCCGGGATTTCGAGAAGTCGAGCTGCGTTCCACACTCACCATCAAAGCTGCAGACAAGCTGCCGCACCCGCAAAGTTTAACAGCAAAAAGAATGGGATGGTCTCCGCCTTTGAAGCAGGAACTGGATTAGTGAGTGTCCAACCACACAAACGAGCACACTTTTTGATCTGAGCCCAAGACGTCTGTCGTACAGGGTGCGTTCAGAACTAACACAAAAACTACGCTCGCATGAGGACATGTCAACACGGCGCTTCAAGACAGGGAAATTTCACACCCGTCTTATCTGTAGTGTGACGTCCGAATCATGCTCGAATTTTGATCGCTTTGGACCAAACCTACTTCACCGGATTATACCGGGAGCTTGCACAGTCAACCGAACCGAGTGCGGCGACTCAAGGCTCTAGGCTGAGTTCTTCAATCGTGAAGCGGAGTGCTTTCGGTACTCTCGGTATTCTGTGCGGCTTGCGCGGGCACATCGAGTACCTGTACGAGGTTGCGATCAATGCTGTGATTGATCAAAAGCGGTTTCATACTCTTAGTGAGACAATCCGCAAGTTGTAAATGCGTCGGTATCCATCTCAACTCATCGCCACAGGGATGGTACAGGACGTGCGTTAGCTCGTCCTCTTCCCAAAGTCCTTGGCGAAGTCCGGACATCTCTATGGCAAGGCGTTTATCCTCGCAGGACTTTGGAATCGACGCTGTCAAGTGATCCGAAAGGGACCTGCAGTCCGTATACTGCAGGTGGAACATCGATCTCTTGGCGACTTCTTCCCAGCTCTGTGACCGGGGCAGTTTGCCGAGTACTTCGAGTACTGCTGCTCGAATGCGGTCTCCATGCTCTATGGCATGCTGCAACGAGTAAGCCTCACACTGCAGTGTGGCGCGACAAACCCGTTTCATGGTGGACGAGGAGAACGAAATGAGGTGCATCTCATGCGTTGGCGCGTTCTTGTCCACCGCCGACTGTGCGGAAGTGAGATAGTGGAAACGGCCTCTCTGCGACTTATGGTTCGCCTCTCCTGCAAAGGAAGCGTCGCAAAACGTGACGACCGCCAGCTCCCCTGTATTCCAGGGTAACTTAGCGCTGTACGTGATCGGCCTATCCGCATCTCCTAACGCCAGTGCTACTACGCGGTTTGCTTCACGGAGCGTATCCACCGTGGCTGTCGTAACACGCTGCTGCAGGGCATTCACCCTATAAGCAAGATCAGGTCTCGTGGCGCGGGCCACCCAAGCCAGCGATCCTATGACGGATCTCAGCGCTGTGCGCTGGCCATTCGAGACTGGAGTCGTGCCCTTTTCAGATTTATGTATATCGATCGGGCGAATTTCACGCGTGTTGTCCCTACAGTTTATACTGATGGTCCCATCGGCGCTTTGCACATACTCGCGTCCGCAGAAACGGAACTTCTCAGTCTCTATGCGACCGATCTTAAACTTATCCAGCAGATTCTGGATAGCCGGCTCGCCTTCGGCGGTAGCAGCCCACAGGAAATCATCCACGTGGGGGCACAAGCAAGCGCACAAACGACCACCTTCTCCTGTAATATAGTACAGGGCTGACAGAATTTGCGAGGCATTTAAGCCAAATTCTCGGCAACTCTCCTTTATACTGAGGTAAAGGTTCCGACCCGCGTCGGTGGTGCCGTACACGGGTACTCGGGCAATCATATACCCGGCTCGCTGAATCTCTGCATCGGGCACACCCTTAGGGTGTTTGGGAACCCGAAGAATGAGGAGGCGCTCAAGGGGTTTCCCTTGGAAGTATGCGTTCGTTATATCGGCTGCTTTGATCCGCAGGGCCAACGAAACCGCCCATGAACACAGAAGGGCTATACCTTCCGGCTCGGCCGTGGGGCTGTCTGCCCTGATATCCTCCTCATTCGAGATATGCTCGAAGTTTCCACATGCGACCAAGCGTGCTTTCCACTTGGGAGTGTATGCTGCTGTCCCCTTTAGGTGTTCATTCTTATCGGTAAGAACCCACTTGGTGGGGATACACACGTGGCCAGCCTTTGTAAGCTCCTTAAACTCCTTGTCTGTGCAAGGGACCACTGCGTTGAATTCAGTGTACTTCTGCCATTCAGTCTTCATGGCAGCATCCAGCCCCAGCTGTACCTCTACAGGGGCCTTATGGTAATCCAGGAGCGAGGCCATGTAGCCAACATCGACATTAGAGCCGAAGGCGTCTTCCCCATTAGGGGTGAGAGCAAAGGCCTTGGGTTCCGCCTCTCGACTATCCGAGGGCTCAACTGCTGGCACTGTCGTGCCAATCGCAGCTGTGTGCGATGCTGCTGCCAGTCCGTCGTCTTCCTCAGGAATGTAGTGACACGGATGGGCTTCTGGCAGTCCGTTAGCACGTATGTGCTCCGCAAGTTTCGAATGCTCGAGCCATATGTGCTGGGCGATATTTCGCCGATGGCATCGCCGCCAACTGGCCTCCGAACACAACAGAAGTAGTCGGTGAAAGTCATCGTGAGCCTCGCTAACTATTCTAGCGATCGTACAGAGCCCTTGGTCTGTTTGCAGGTTGGCTTCAATCCCGCCCCGATTCCTGTTGCCTAACTCGGGGGCGTGACTGTACACAACCCCTTTTGCAAAGCATGTGGCAGAAAGCTCATCACAATTGTATTGTGGGTGCCGAACACTGTACGGGTGGCTTCTGCAATCTACGATTTCCTTAATCCCGTACTCGTGGATGCGCTCTAGGAACGTCTCGATGGGAAGATCGGAGTGACCCATGGTGTATATCCCATCGCCTTTCCTGCCAAAGGTGTTGGGCGCATCCCTATATATGGCGTAGCCTAGATCCGACAAAAGCTGTATGTCATCTTTAGACAACTTACCGAGGTCACTCACCGTGTATGCGGAGAGACTGTATCTTTCTCCTACAACGGTGCGACCATGTGCACGTCCTTCGGGCGAAACTTAAGAACCTTGTTCTTAGTATCATGGACGGTGCCATACATTGTCGTGTTTTGAATACGCACGGGAGTTGTACCCGTGGCTTCTTCCACCCATAGGCCGCCTCCACGATACTCGCCCACACCTATAATGTAGTTATACGAGCCAGGAGTGTTCGCTAGGTCTCTATGGGCCTCTGCGCCTCTGTTGGTAAGCTGAACGCTACTCCACTGTGGAAGATGGTGACCGGCTTGCATACTGTGATGCAAGAGGTAGTGGTTGAGGTACATGGCGAACGACGGTCTCTCGCGCGTTGGTCCAGAGACACCAACAAGACCACCGTGCCGATATACTCCCACCGCGAGGGCTATGCTCCCGGGATCTCCATCGTCTAGGAGCGGGCGCGTGTACGCCTCGCGTCGGTCGCGGTCATAAGCGCGAAGGAGGGCCAGACACTCATCTGGAGAAAAACCCTGAGCATCTATCAGGCCTTTTGCCATGATTTCTACTTGATCAAGCTCTTCTGCAACTAGTGCGTCATCACGGCCTCCTACTGGCGATCGCGACCGGGCGGTTTCGCCCGTCTTATCTTTGGCGCGAAACCTTGCAGGGGTAGGTGGCGCTGGCATCGGTGTGCCGGGCATCATCGCTGGCGTCGACGGTGCTGGCATAGGCACATCGTGCGCGACTGCCGGTGTAAGCGGGGCAGCTGCAGCCACTGGACGTGGCGTCGCTGGTGCTGTGACCGGATCCGCTACGCGCTCATCCTGGAACCTTTGTTCCGGCCCATGTACGATGGCTTCCGGAAGCACTGGTTCACCTGCCAAACCGCGGTGCGCTGCAACTTCGATTTCATCAGCTGGGCGCATCTTCCTAGCGTTCACAAGTACAGGGATATTCTCGTGTAATACCCAGTACGCATTCTCTGCCTCACGTCCTATGACGCGGCTAACCGTGGACCATACGACTCCTGGGCTGCCAGGGACGTTGTCCCGACGGTAGATAACTAAATCACCAACCTTATAATCAGTGTCTAGAGCGCTGTAACGCTTTGGCCACCTTGCGGGAAGTCTCTAAATGAACAAAGGCCTTTTTGGCTTCCTGCCGTGCTCTGTGCCGAATGTAGTATACACTCGTCTCATCATACTTGGTGAACAATGTACCAAGACTTTCGGATTCATCTAGCACGGAACCCGGTGTTCGAGGCTGCTTTCCCAACACGTGTTGTGCTGGGCTAAACCCTTGGTGCCTACTAAGCTCGTTCTTAGTAGTAACACTCTCGGTAACGACCACCTCCATCTCCTCGATATTCGAGGGCTGAGTC